CACGCCGGGCGCATGAGTGTTTGTGCCCAAGATCCCGAGAGGAGAATGGAAGAGAAGGGACTGTGGCGTGGCCATCCCCCCCAGAGGGTAATTTCTTGCTTTCTATCCTCTTGTCTTTCTGGCGAGCGCACGTGCCCTATAGCAAAAACTTCTCAAAAAAAAAAAAAAAAAAGTGTTAAATGGAAAGTTTATCTTATTACCATAAGTAGAAAGCCAGTATTAGGAGTTAAGTATAAAAATCTCCATAGGCAAATGCTTGTTTTCCAGTTCATCCTGAGGCTGTTTCCTCCTCATTGTAATTTTCTCTCTCTCTCTCTTTTTTTTTTTTTTTTTGAAGACAGAGTCTTGCTGTCACATCCTCCTGCTTCAGCCCAAGCTGGGATTATAGGCGTGCCACTACACCTGGCCTTTAGGTTGGACCAGGAAACGAACTGATCCTTCCCTGTGCTTTCAGCCTGCGGTGCACACATCTTAGCGTTCTGCATCCCTGGCTGGGCCCCTCCCATTGTGATCTTTAAAGGCTTTTTTTCTGGTGGTCAGCCTCCATTTCCTACTGTGCTCCAATCCTTATCAGAATAGAGGAGGCCATATGTCCAAGGCTGGCCTGCGGTCCTCTCCTCCCCATGTCCAGGAATGTGATAAGCATCCTCTTCTGTAAAACTGATAAGCACACACTTTGGGAAACTGAAACGAGACATTTCCTATCTCTTCCTGCTAAGAAAAAAAAAAAAAAAAAAAAAACTAAACCCAAATACTTCTAAGATCAAAATACAAATAGTTGAGTAGTTCAGTTCTGAGACATATGAATTGCCCTAGTCACTCAGTATGACTTTGGGAAAATACAAAGGGCTAATGTATCCTTTTTAGCAGATAACGTTTCTGTTCTAAAGCTCTCCACAGTGACACTTATTTATTTTTAGAGTCCTGTGGCTGGCGCACTGCACTGGGGCATGATTGATCTATTCATTTTCTCTCTTGTAGTGTTGAAGGCTGTTGCTATGGTTGAATCAACTGTGTCCTGAACCAGCGTAGTGGCCACCAAAGCAAAGGGGTTAGTGGTGCCTTGACCTTTTGCTTCGTGGGCAGAGCCATTATTTTACTCTGGTTCCATTCAGAATCTGAGAGGAAAATTTTTCTATAGCAGTGATAAAATTTCTTTGGAATATATAAATTGTTAAATGTTGATTATCTGAAAATGTCTTTGGGTGGTGACATTTTGGTTGCTGACACAGCCTGTTCTGTTTAGATATGCAGGTCCCTATTTCCCGTGCAAAAGGCAGGTGTCCTTATTACAGAGCTGTTAGGGGCCAGGCAGCGACACAGCAGTAATGAAAATAGACCCACTAGGTCCCAGGTCCTCCCTGTACATTCCGGCATGTGCACACATGCACGATTTGGGCCTGCTGAGCAGGGGGGTGATCATGGTGTGAAGACCCTATAGGAGATTTCTGTCTCTGTCTCTTTCTCAGAAGAAATGAACGAATTTTTTTTAAGCGTTTTTAAATTGCGCGACCAGCAGGTGGCATGGTAGTTGAGGCCCTGGACACTCCCACATGGCTGACCATGGTTCAAGTCCAGGACCTGGTGGCTTGCTTTCTCACTTTCTCTCTCTCTCTGTCTCTCTCTGGTCAAATTAAAATAAATTAATGAATAAATGAAAAATTAAATAAATAATTATTTTTTTAAAAAGTTGTTAAATTGCTCCTCATTGGAAACTACAATTCATGGCAGTTGAATTTTCAAGTTGTTCTTTGCCTCATTTCTGTTTTCTGTCTTATGTGGAATCCTATTAGAGTTAAATAAGACAATTCTTTGCCAATGAAAAGAAAAGCAGGAAGCTAGGAGAACAAAACCCTAATTCTGAAAAGTGTCGGGCTAGAGAAAGGGAATTCTTTGGGATACTAGAAAACAGAGAAACACTAAACACGAGCTGTAAGCAGTAAATTTTATTATCATTATTGCTTGAGGCAATGCCGTCATATTAATCACTATAAGCAAATAGTTTATTATCTATGTCTAAGGCTCCCTGGATGTTTTTTGCTCTTGGTTGCTCTTTGCAGAATTAAAAATTATTATTATTATTTTTAAAAGATTTATTTAGGGAAAACAAGAAAGCAAGTTGCCAGGACCCCCCTTTTGTTTAAAGACTTATTTTATTTAACTTTATTTATTTTTTTTTTTAAATTTTTTTTTCCTTTTTTTGGAAGAGGTTTTCGCTATAGGGCGCATGCGCTCACCAGACAGACAGAGAGAAACATAGAGACGGAAAGCGAGAAATCATCCCCCAGGGGGGATGGTCACACCGCAATCCCTTCTTCTCCATTCTCCTCTCGGGATCTTGGGCACGCACGCACACACGCCCGGCGTGAGTTTTAAGCCACCGGGTCCGGGACGCAAACCACAGTCGACTACATGGGAGTCCAACGACATAGCCATTACGCTAACTGCTGGTTCCCATTTATTTTAAAATTTTGATCAGAGAGAGACAGAGTGTATGTGTGTATGGGGTGGGGGCAGGGGCGTGAGAAAGCAAGCTGCCAGGTCTGGGACTTGAACTGCAGCAGGCCATGTGGGAGTTCAGCACCCTTAACCACCATGCCACCTGCCGGCCCTCAAAATTATTATTATTATTATTATTTTTAGTTTTTGGAGGTAGGGGCAGAGGGAGCTGCTGACAAGGAAAACAAAGACATTTTATGATTCAAACATGAACCCAAACCAAATACTTAGTCCTATTAAGAGTTTTACGGATCTTGAAAACAGAAAAGGATAGATCTTTTACTTTTAATAGTTGGCGCCATACTTTTGATGCTAGCAGACCGGTAAACACATTTACAGATTATAAAAACACTAATAGTTAACCATCTTAGGCATTGATCTCTCCTCAGGTTAATCAATCAGTGGTGATTCTTTTTTTTTTTTTGGAGAGGTTTTTGCCACAGGGCGCGTGCACTCACCAGACAGAGAGAGAGACAGAGAGACAGAAAGCGAGAAATCACCCCCCAGGAGGGATGGCCACACCACAATCCCTTCTTCATTCTCCTCTCAGGATCCTGGGCACGCACACACATGTGCCCGGCGTGAGTTTTAAGCCACTGGGTTCGGGACACGAACTGTGGTCGACTATGTGGGAGTCCAGCGACATAGCCATTACGCTAACTGCAGGTCCCCCAATCAGTGATTATTTATTAGACTCTGTTTCTTAGATGAGATTGATTGATTTTACCTGTTTTTGGTGTTCAATCTTTACCATGTTTTCATAACCTTGATTCAGTGACTGATCACAAAGTCAAGCATGTGTTCCACCTATCATATCCCCAACCATTCCTGGCTTTCTGGGCATGCTGGCTTTGTACATGAGGTACTGCTAGCAACCTCCTAACAACCATCAGTCATAATGATATTACCTGTTTTCTACCCCAAGACAGGTGAATCAGAAAAAGGTTTCTTGTCTTTTGACAGTTTGGGATTCGGTCTTGTTCAGCCCAATCTCCTATTCACCTTTTTTTTCTGCTCTTTTAGGAGCAGCAATAAAACCTATAAATCCCTTTCCTTTTCTTTCATCGAAGAATTTAGTTCATTTCAATCTCTAATTATCTCTTCCCAGACTCAGTTTCAGGACTCCAATGCTAATTGTAAGACCCTGTCTCTATTTTTAGACAAGGGGTGTCTTTCTCCAGCCTGTCTGAGGTGGAATGTTTAATTCTTTCACACATTGTTAACTCAGATAAAATCACAAACTTCAACATAGTTATCACTTGCAAGTGCTCACAAATCTTTTTTGTTTGTCCTGAATTGATAAATAAAAATTCCTTCCACACATAGTGAACATTTCACCTATAAAAAGAATTAATTCCCAACATACACATTGGTTATTTGGAATTCTGTACACATTTATGTTTAAACAAAGATTTGTTGAACCTACTGTGCACCAAATACTTTTCTCATCAGAATAATAGAATGGATATTGTTTGGGTTCCCAGGCTCATTAAAGGCATTAAAAATTTTTAACAATTATTCATTTAATTTTATTTCTTCTTATCATTTTTTAAAATTTGCTATAGGGCATATGCACTCACCAGAGAGACAAAGAGAGAAAAAGTGAGAAGATAAGCCACCAGGTCCAAGACTCAAACCACAGTCAGCAATGTGGGAGCCCAGGGCCTTAACCACCATGCCATCTGCTGGCTCCCATTAAAGCCTTTTTACCTAACATGGAACTAAATTGTACCACAAAATGGGCAAGTCACATCTTGGAACCTTGGGAACAAGCAGGCCATGTGATAAGAAGGGAGGAAGAAGAAAGAGAAAGAATAGAACTTTCTCTCACTGTTGTGGTCACTGACTAGCCTTAGGACCAATGATTAGTAAATACTGCTTATTTGAGGCTAGGTGCTATTCAGATGCTTTATACACAGTACGTATTGCTAAACATAGCAAGCATGGGTTGGTTGGTGCCATCACTCATCTTCCTTCCCCTCCCTTTCTCAGCTCTTTGAGCATCTCTCTCTGAGCTACCGGGACACACATGTGGGCCTGTGCTCGCTGCTCTGACTCTGCCTCTGGCCAGTTCTGCCATCCACAGTGCTCCATGCTCCAAAATTCCCTATTCTCCACCCTCAATCCATGAAAGCTTCCATCACCTCGATGTAGCTAGTCCCAGGTGCTAGGAAGAAACTTCCCAGAGATGTTTTTATGTTCAGAGAGAATACCTCCTAAATCAAAGGCATTTCTGTTGGCATTTCAAGCAGGTGGATCTGGCAGTGAAGGGCAGGCATGGGGTTGCTAGTTACTGGGTAGAAGATCTGGCCCTTCTGAAAAGTCAGTTCTTAGAGGCCTCTCCTCAGAGTTATTTCTATTTATTACAACTTCCTTTCTCCATTTCTAAACAGGAGAGAAGCACAGGGGGAATGAGCTAGCAAAGATAAACGAGCACACTCAGCTCGTCTGAAGCTATCGTAGAGCATTCTAAGGCAGGGGCAGCGAAGGCAATGTTGTGGGGGGGAGTCTTTGTGACCACGTTTCCTGTTAATGCTGTTCGTGTGCTGCCACCTCTATCTGCTGCTCACTGGCTGACATGTGTGAAAATGAATATGAATTTTCCTGGCATCCTGTAAGGTGAAGTCTTTCTTATTTATTTATTTTTGACCAGGGGGCATATGTGTCACAGAGAGAAATAGAGAGAGGGGGGAGGGAGAAACACCTCCTCCAGTGGGGCACGATAACATTGCAGTCCCTTCTCCTCCATTTCTCCATCCTGTCAGGATCTGGAGCATGTGTACACACACGTCTGTCATGTTTTCAAGCTGCCAGGTCTGGGATTTGAACTGTGACTGGTCATGTGGGACCTGGCTCCCTTAACTATGAGAACATGGGCTGGCCCAAAAAGGAAGTTTTAAAATTTATTTCTAGGGACCAGCAGTTAGCATAAAGGCTATGTCACTCGACTCCCATGTAGTCAACCATGGTTCGAGTCCTGGGCCCAGTAGCTTAAACTCACACTGGGTACGTGTGCATGCGTACCCAAGATCCTGAGAGGAGAATGGAGGAGAAGGGATTGTGGCGTGGCCATCCACCCTGGGGGATGATCTCTCGCTTTCTGTCTCTCTGTCTCTCTCTGTCTTTCTGGCAAGCGCATACGCCCTGTAGCAAAAACCTTTCAAAAAAAAAAAAACGATTTTTTTTATTTCTATAAAGTTTTAGTCCCTGACAGTATTTTTAAATCTCAGTTTTGTTTGTTTGAAAGAAAGGAGGGATAGAGCAAAAGAGAGGACGAAAGGTATTTTTGACAGAGCCTTACCATTGTGGTCCTCTGTCCCAGTCTCCTGGTTACCTAGGATTACAGGCATATACTCTCATACTCAACCCATTCTGGTTGATCTGGAATCCAAATCTGGCCCCTCAGGTGGCCACAGTCACACACAAAATGCCATTGTGGCTAGGCCTTGAACTCAGTTCTTAAGGATGATAATAAGACATTGATTTTTCTTAGTTTCTTCTGGGTAAAACTTTCTTTTTATTAAATTCGTGATTGAGTCTGTGCACATGAACATAAGAGGAAGAGAGAGAGAGGAAGGGAGAGAGAGAGGGAGGGAGAGAGAGAGGAAGATGTGCACTCTCCATAGGATCTGGTCATGTCATGGTCTCCTGCCTCCAGTCCGTTGGATCTTGGGCACTTGCCTGCATGCCTAGTGTGTCTCGGGATAGTCTGGCTGGGGATTTGAACTGCAGTAGCCATATAGAATCTGGCTTTTCTTGAACAGTGTGTTACCTCTGCCATGTAATCAGCCCTTGGATATAGCTTTCTGATGTAAGAATTAATTATTTCACCAAGCTACAATCTTTACTTGTCAATCTTCAGCTCTAAACAGAAGGCCTAGGCCCTATTAGTCTTTGTCCTCTCTAAATGAAGAATGCTAAGGCCAAAAGCAATTACATCATTTCAACTCAATTTCTGTTTTTGTTATAGTAAAACTACTTCATCTACTTACCAGAGGAATTTTAAAACTTACTGTTCTGAAAAGAAAAATAAGTGCAAGAATAGTTATTAAGTACTCCCAGATAAGTTAGAGAGGTATTTATGCCCTTATTTATTTTTATGTTTATTTCTAATGTACTTATTAAAAATTACATACAATGCAATATCAGTGCAAAATAGAATTGCTGACTAAATCACAAAGTTTCCTTTCAGAAGTTTTTCCTGTTAACTAGCCCATTAGGCCAGGCCTGTGGCCTGACCAGGTTATGCCACCATTCAGGGACCTTTTGTGGTCCTTATCTCATTATAATGAATTATTTATGTTGCTATTTATGTAATTTCTCTGTTCCTGTTTTCACTGTGGGCTGCCCGAGGAACTTTCCAGCATGTTTACCACTGTACTCTGCACCCCAACATGATTATGGCCCCCCGGCATTCGATAGATCTCCTAAATACGATAGTCATATGTTGAACAAATGATACCTAAGTTAATTGTGATAGCTAAGCAATAAGTCTGCCTTCTCCTGGCAGTTGAGTCCCAGTGAAAATACACTAGGCCATCTGACTTTTGCTATAGCTAAAAGTAGCATGCATACGAAGAGACAGTTTTCTTTGAACTAAACACAAAAACACTGAGTAACAGAAGTGACAATCTATGTGGTTTTGCAGACCAACCAAATGCTATTTGAGTGAATTATGGACTCTCCCTGAAAAGTTTTTATTACAAAAACTAATGAGAATGTTTTTGTAGATAGCAGATTATATGGCCCAGATACTTTCATAGCAGTTAATCAAGACAGTAGGTGATTTGGTGTTTAACTGCTTAAACTTTGAGTCAGACAGATCTGGGCTTTTACCCTGCATGTTACCCTTTACTACCTTTGTGATCTGGGTAATTTACTCACTCTGTCTCAGTTTTGGTTCCTCTGTGTGTGAAATGTGGCACTAACTGTTCATTATCAATTTGTTGTGTGAATTAAATGAGATAGTTTGTGTAATCTTCTTGACAAAGAGTAAATCCTCAATAAATAATATCAAGTGTTATTAGATAACAATATGAAGTAAAACTACGGGTATCAATTGATAGCAGGCAGCAGTTAAATGCTATGCATGGAAAGCCTGGTCCCACATGGCCAACCATGGTTCTCAGCCCCAGCACCTCAAAACACCCACAGGGTGCATGTGTTTACATGCCCAACTGGGGACTGTTTCCTCTCTTTCTGGCAAGAATATGTGTCCATTAGTAGTAAAAAAAAAAAAAAAAGAAAGAAAAAAGAAAAACAATAAAGAATCAATAGTGACCATAAGGTTAAAACAATTTATCTCAACCTCAGGGGCTTAAGTCAGCATTGTGCAGATGACATCTTTCTTTCAACCAGTTCTTGAATTTTTCTAGTGGATGTGGTAAATGTAGAAATTTTATTTTATGGTTGAAGAGTCATGTGTTAGATGACTAGTGATATGGAACAAATGTGTTCTCTTGCTGAGAAAGAAAAAGATTCCAACTTGTATTCTCACCCGGACAGAATTTCCACTCAAAAGATCAGAAATGCACAGAGCAAGTATGTTTATGGATATAACCAAATTCTTTTATAAAATATTTAAATAAGTGGGTTGGCTCTTTTTACATTCCCAACTGGGGACTGTTTCCTCTCTTTCTGGCAAAAAAATGTGTCCATTAGTAGTAAAAAAAAAAAAAAAGAAAGAAAAAAGAAAAACAATAAAGAATCAATAGTGACCATAAGGTTAAAACAATTTATCTCAACCTCAGGGGCTTAAGTCAGCATTGTGCAGATGACATCTTTCTTTCAACCAGTTCTTGAATTTTTCTAGTGGATGTGGTAAATGTAGAAATTTTATTTTATGGTTGAAGAGTCATGTGTTAGATGACTAGTGATATGGAACAAATGTGTTCTCTTGCTGAGAAAGAAAAAGATTCCAACTTGTATTCTCACCCGGACAGAATTTCCACTCAAAAGATCAGAAATGCACAGAGCAAGTATGTTTATGGATATAACCAAATTCTTTTATAAAATATTTAAATAAGTGGGTTGGCTCTGCGGTGCAGCTGTACTGCACTGCTCAAGAGAAATCCATCCCAGGGTGGGTAAAAGAGGCTCAGGAAAAAGCATTAAATAGACACAGGGATGCATATGGGTGGGACAAGTGGGTTGTAGAAGGGCATACCCCAACAGAGTGAGACTAGGGGATGTCGTCAGTATTCTGCATCTATGTCTCAAAACAAAAAAACAAAGTAGAGCAAACAGTTGAAGGTAGTGTTTTTGTTGAAAACAATGAATTTGGTAATATCCCTGATTTGATCACCACACACTGCATGCATGCTTTGAAAATCCATACTGTACCCTGGAAAGATGAACAAAAATTAAATGTAAATAAGAAATTGTTTAAAAAAGAAACATAATAACAGACTAGCTAGTGGTATGATAGTTAAGGGATCTGGTTCCCACATGGCCGACTGCATGGTTCAAGTCCCTGACCTGGTGGCTTGAAAAACACACTGGTATGCGTGCATGTGTGTCCAAAATCCTGAAAGGAGAATGACGGAGAAGGGATTGCTGTGTGGCCATCCCTCCTGAGGGTGCTTTCTCACTTTCCCTCTCTCACTTCCTGTCTCTGATAAGTACATGTACCTGATAGCAAAAAAAAAAAAAAAAACTTAAAAAAAAAGAAAGAGAGAGAAAGCTGACATGGTTCAAAGCTCTGATGGATTTCAATTTAGGAATGAGAATCAATCAACCTGAATTCCATTAGGTGATACCTATATTAGAATAAATGATTAATGAATTTTGTTTCTTATCTTGCATTTAGGATAGGAAATTTAAAAATTTGAATGCCTAGTCATACGTTTCCTAGGCTTTTTTCTTCAGATGTAAGTAATTGAGTAGATCTAGAGCTATGCCATCTATTCAGTAGCTACATGTGACTGTCTAAATTAAAATTTTGTTTTTTCAATCACATTAGCCATATTGCAAGTGCTCCTTAGTTACATAGGCCTAGTGGCTACCATGTTGAACAGTACAAGCACAGAAAGTTTTATTGACAGTTCTGTTCTAGAATTGTTAAGATGACTGGTTGCCGGTTTGGGATGGTTCCTGGAACCTTACAATATCAAGGCCATTCTAAGGTGGTAGAGTTGTCCAACTACCAATGGAAATTCATACTTTTGTCATTCCTCTTGTAAATGTCATGCCGTAAGTAGCTTTGTCCCGACAGCTGAGAACAGTCTCATTCCAGAAATAATACTATGCCACCAGGGTTTCTACTAAGCCCTCCATAGGTTTTCATTAAATCTACACAATAGTTTCATAAGGGAGGTATTATTTTTAAGAACAGATAAAGTAAAGCTCAGAGTGATGAATTTACTTGTCCCATATCATTCAGTTGGCAAGGTAATAATAGGAATTTAAACCTCATTCTGTCTAATTTCAAAGCTCTCTGTACTGTTCACCACACTTTACAGCCTTTCTATTAGTGAAAACAAGAATAGCTCTCCCTCTATATGAGTCACGCTAGAATCTTCTTTTTTTTAGAATTATTTTTTATTTAACTTTATTTGTTTATTTATTTTAATTTGACCAGAGAGGGACAGAGTGATAGAGAGAGAGCGAGAAAGCAAGCT